CATTCCATGCTGATCCCAAGGGATGGAGGGTCCAGCTCCCCGGATCCCAAGGGATGGAGGGTCCGGCTCCCCAAATCCTGACAGATGGAGGGTCCAGCTCCTGGGATCCTCAGGATGGAGGGTCTGGCTCCCCAAATCCTGAGGGATGGAGAGTCTGGCTCCCCGGATCCCATGGGATGCATGATCCAGCTCCTGGAATCCCAAGGGATGGATGATCCAGCTCTTCAGGGAAGGAGGGTTCAGCTCCTGGATCCCGAGGCCTGGAGAGTCCAGATCCTGAGGGATGGAGGGTCTGGCTCCCAGATCCCAAAGGATGGAGGGTCCAGCTCCTGGGATCCTCAGGGAAGGAGGGTCCAGCTCCCTGAATCTTCAGGGATGGAGGGTCCGGCTCCCCAAATCCTGAGGGACGGAGGGTCCAGCTCACCGGATCCCAATGGATGGAGGGTCCGGTTGCCCAGATTCCAAGGGATGGAGTGTCCGATTGCCCAGATCCCCAAATCCTGAGGGATGGAGGGTCCGGCTCCTGGGATACTCAGGGATGGAGGGTCCGGCACCCCGGATCCCAATGGGTGGAGGGTCCAGTTGCCCAGATTCCAAAGGATTGAGGGTCCAGATCCCCAGRTCCTCAGGGATGGAGGGTCCAGCTCCCCAGATCCCAAAGGATGGAGGGTCCGACTCCTGGAATACTCAGCTGGAGAGTCCGGCTGCCCAGATTCCAAGGGATGGATGGTCCAGCTCCCTGAATCCTGAGAGATGGATGATCCAGCTCCCGGGATCCTCAGGGATGGAGTGTCTGGCTCCCCAAATCCTAAGGGATGGAAGGTCCAGATCCCCAGATCCTGAGGGATGGAGGGTCTGTCTCCCTGGATCCCAAAAGATGGAGGAGCCAGATCCTCAGATCCTGAGGAAGGTAGGGTCCAGCTCCTGGGATCCTCAGGATGGAGGGTCTGGCTCCCCAAATCCTGAGGGGTGGAGGGTCTGGCTCCCCAAATCCTGAGGGGTGGAGGGTCTGGCTCCCTGGATCCCAAAGGATGGATGATCCAGCTCCTGGGATCCCAAAGGATGGAGGGTCTGGTTCCTGGGATCCTCAGGGATGGATGATCCAGCTCCCCAGGGAAGGAGGATCCCCAGATCCCAAGGGATGGAGGGTCTGGCTCCTGGTCAATCCCCCCTTGGGATGAATTCCCAGTGGGATCTCAGGTGCCTGGATTTGCTCCCAGGATTGAGGCGCCTGTTGGGATCTCAACCCTTCCCCAGGATAAGCAAATCCCACACCGACGTGGTGATTCCTGCTGGGAATCCCTGAGGAATCCTGGGATGGCAGCTGGAACTCCTCCGGCTCTTCCAAGGAACATTGTTAATATAAGGATTAATTAAATTAAGGATTTAATTAATTTAAGGATCCGTGGCTTCCCTTGGGTGTCTTTGTGAGCTCCCGGGGTCTGCCCCGGAATGGAAAAAATCCCATTGGGAAAAATGGGAAAAATCCAATGGGAATCCAATTTTCCAATGGGAAAAGTCCCCGGAATGGGATGGGATCCCGACATTCCCTGGCATGAACCCACTGCAACCCCAGCTCAGGACTGGGAATGCTGCAGGTGATTCCGTTGGGATGGAGTCTGAGCCGGGAACGGTTTTCCATGAGTTTATGGATGCTCAGGGCCGAATCCTTGGATGGCGGTGGATTCCCAATCCCTGGAGGTGTCSAAGGAATTCCTGGATGTGGCACTGGGGATGAGATATGAATTGGTCCCACGTTGGATTTGATGACTCTGGAGGTTTTTCTAACTTCTGGAATTCTGGGATTCTGGGATTCTGGGATATGCAGCCATGAGGGGATTCATGGAATGCTAGGATGGATTTTCGGGCAGTTTTCCACATTTTTGGAGTTGTGTTTTCTGCGATGGCTTCATCTGTGGGTTTTACTCTGGGAGCTCTTGAACCCATTGGAAAAGGGAATGGTTGGAAGAGGGGAGAAATCAGAGCCCTGAAGTTTCTGGAATTCATAAGGAATTCCAAGGAATTCTTAAGGAATTCTTAAGGTGGAGGGGAGACTCTGGAAGTGGGAGAAGGGGAGAGGGAAGAGAGAATCCTGGTGCCGCCATGGCTCCCTCGGGATCCCCACATTCCCTGCCTGCTCCTCATGGATTCTGTGGTGATGGGTAAAGGAGGTTACTCCTCGTATTCCCAAATCACAGAATCATGGAATATCAGAACCATTTTGGCTGGAAAACCCCTCTGAGAGCACAGAATCCCAAAATTGCCACAGGTCTACCAAATCCCTAAATCCACACGGATTCCCAGCCCGGAGCTGGGAATCCAAACACAATTCCTGGAATCAGCTCATTTTTCCAAATAAAAAAATAAAATTATTAATGATTAATAAATTCATTATTCCATTATTGGATTAATAAATTCCATCTGGAATTGGCACTTCATTGTGGCCAAAACAAAAAGGGAAAAATGGCTTTTTCTCCCATGGGATTCSGTGATTCCCACCCAAACCAGTTTGGGATTACACGATTCCCACCCAAACCGGTTTGGGATTCCACAATTTCCCACCCAAACCAGTTTGGGATTTCATGATCC